ATATTATGTTGTCCACCATGGAAAATTAATCAAACCCAGAATTGCTGCCGGGCCCAGACTCACTAATGAAACTCTTTTCATCATGGGGATCCGTAAAAGGAAACTAGCCCAATGCCTTAATTTGGAGTCTGACCCATTTTTCTAAAGCAGGTAATAGAGCACCGGCAGCTGCACAGAAAACACTCTGACCGTCCCTCTAATTCACAGGCGGTTCTTCCGATGACTCTTACCTGTCTGCTGATGATGAGCCAGCTGAGGCCCCGAGGTTTGAGAAGCCTCTTGAGGACACCACCGCACCCAGCGCCTCTGAGGTCACACTGCAATGCATCATCACTGGCAGCCCAACCCCTACTGGTACAGCTGAAGACAAGTCACCATTTTAACATCCCCATTTTCTATAATTTTCTTTTTTGAATTCAGTAAGGAGACTGTTTTCTGTTAAGTGCCGTATAAAGCGATTTCTTGCACACATAGTCTTATGAAATCTGGTCAATTTTAAGTGAAACTCTCATAAACCAAATCAATGAGCCTTATCCTTTCACATGTTTGCAATCTGACTTCTTCCATATCAGTTTTTCAGTGTTTGTGTTTTCTCTCTCTCTGCCTTCTCAGTGACATGGAGGAAGAATAATGTGGAGATCCGGTGTGACGCGTTCCATGTGGTTAAAGCTGAGGGCGAGAAGCATAGTCTGGTGATAAAGGAGATGAGGCTGAGCAATGCGGGGTCATATTGCGCCACGGCTGTCAACGCGGCGGGCAGAGCGTCATGCAGTGCGACACTCTACATTCAGTCAGGTGAGGCTGGGCCAGAGCCTGCTTTCAAGCCCTGTGCGATACTTGAAATATTGGTATCAATTGGATTACCAAGTAAATATACAGCCTGTATTGCCAATACCAATACAGATACCGATAATTTTAACCTATAAAGGCAGCTTTTATGGGGGTGAGCAGTGTGTCATGGTTTATGAGATGAGCCATCTTCCAAAAATATTAAATTTATTTAACACTTTTCAGTAGATACTGAACTTAGAAGGACAGAAACAAAGTATCCATCCTATCGCACTAGTATTTATCCAGTACCAATACCAGCGTATCGATGGTTACATGTATCCACCCACCTCTACTGCTTTCTTGTTTTGCAGTTAGACATGGTGACACATTTTACCAGCACAAATTTTAAATGAGGAGAGCGACACCGGGGGGAACATAAAAACGATGCTGTTCTCAAACATGTTGACTCACACTTTAATCCGCTGCCAGCCCTCCTCCGCCTGACATTCTGTCTTAATGACTACAAAGGCCCGCTGGAGCTCAGCATCCCGACCGGGGCCCTTCGCAGCGATAGTTGCCATGGCAACCCATTAATTCTTGAAGGCACCGAGCTCCCCCTCGGCATGAATTCAAAACGCAGACCTGCCCCCGTCACACAAAGGTCTCCTGAGCCTCAAAGGCAGCCGTGGCATTCAAAATCAGGCAAAAAAAGAAAAATATAAGCGCCTGCAGTGGACGGGTGTTTATACTACGCTGTGCATGAGAGAAGCTCCCAGCAGTGCTGGTTCGGCCTCATGCAAATGCAACTTTCCCCTCTTCACAGTTTTGTCAACAAATGCGAGCGCTCACCCTGGTGCTTTTCCGACAGCAGCACGCGGGCCTCTGTTGCCATATTAGGCCAGCGGAGTCTAACTTTGCAGGAGTATTTTTAGAAGGCCTCTTGTTCTCTCGGGTAATTGCCGTCTGCTTTATGTCCCCGCTCGAGATTACAGCTGTAATCGTGGAGTTTTTCATCACTTCAGATTTCACGCTACAGGGCTTGGGGATGGAGCTGCCAGAAAGTGGCGGGAGATTATGTGAGTCATTTTAGCCGAGAAGTGTGTAGATTGTTGCCACGACAAGCCAAAATAGTGGGCGAGATTGATTTACTGGCTTCAAAGAAATATGCGAGAACATAACACAGGCCTATTGTCATTTTTGCATTAAAAAAAAATCAAAGAAGTTGAAGAGCCACAGCTTTGTGACTCAGTGGAGTCTTTAAACCTAAGCTTTAATAAACTTTTAAAATATTCAGCTTTTTCATCAGCCCGGGATGTCAGGAGTGTAAGAGAATAAAGGCGTAACAGTGATGGGAAGCAGAAGGACAGGGTGGAGGAAAGTTGGTCGGCTCACACTGTTCGGGAGTTGTGTAAGAGTTGGCAGGTTTACATAAATACTCTGGGGAGTTATCCCCTGGTGCACAGACGCCGCTCAGAGATGTGACTCTAGGTAGGTTATTTTGTTGTTTTTATCCCCCCCTCCTTTTTTCAATGCTATAAGCGCAACAGAATATCCACCTACATCGCTTAATAATTTGGCATAAACAGTGTTTTTTTATCGTGTTTCATTACTATTAGTCAGCTTTTCCATATATGGCTTTCGGTGCATTTCTTTCCATCTGTATATGCGACCAAGCCTGCCTTTCACTTGCAGATGATGACCCACTTTCCCTTTATTTTGCACAGTTGAATGTCATGCAAAATACCTATCAGTCCACTGTTCTGCCATCTGAAAGGGGGGACATGCCTTTATTCTACTTGGGTAATTGATTTTATTCATTTTCACTCGCTACGTTATCTAGTTGTGCCAGATATGTGAGGTCTTAGGCTTTGCAAAGATTGTGAAACGCTGACACGAAAACGAAGGCAACAAAAGAAGAAGGAGAGACAGAAAGAGAGAGGCAGCTCTTTATATTTCTTCCCGCAGCTGTGAGTTGAGTCCGACTGTAGTCCAGACTGCCAAGGGTCCAGACACAGTGTCTGATCTAGAACTCGTGGGAATGAGTGAATGATTGGGTCAGGGATTAAGGGATTAATTCGTTATCTGTTCGCTTATGGTCACTTCAGATGGTCCCTGTGCTCAGTGTGTGGAGGTGCACGTGGCCCACTTGTGTCTAACCCACTGCTTTGTGTTGCCAAGTGCTCATTTTGGCAAAGATCAACACCAGCAAAGCAAAAAAAAGACCGTAAACAAAATGAGCTACGCCAGTGCCATGTTAACCATATTTCAAAAGGCTTTGCACTCAATTACTTAAATTAAGACGTGTGTAAATCAGAATCGACTTTTTTGTGAACTCAAATAAAAATGAATTAGACACGGCGGTAGTATGCTTGTAATTCTATTATATTTGTGTCCGATATCTTGTTCTTCCAGAGCCGACCCACACGCAATGTGGGAAATCTGCTGTATCTCTGGAAATCAGCAGTCCAATCCAGTCAGATGAGGAGTACCTGAGTCCTCAGGAGGAGGTGATGGAGGTCGGAGGCTCACTTCCTCACCATTTAAAAGAGCCTCCCTCATTTCAGGTAAAAGTATAAAAGCTCCTTATGATTTTTTCTTTAAATAACAAGCGCAGCGTCATAGTCGATGTCTCTGATATCCCCATTTCGTTGTCTTTCCCGAATCATCATAATTAATGTTATTCCAGGTTCAACACTGCAAGTGACCAATCACATTGTTGTGATGTATTGCCAAAAGTATTCGCTTGCATATGAATTTGAATGACATCCTGTTCTTAATCCTTAGGGTTTATTTTGATAATTTGATCAACTCTTTGCAGCTCTAACAGCTTAAATTCTTCTGGGAAGGTTTTCCACAACCTTTAGGAGTGTTTATGGGAATTCTCCCAGAAGCACATTTGTGAGGTCAGACACTGATGTTGGACCAGAAGGCCTGGCTCGCAGTCTCCACTTTAATTAATCTCAAAGGTGTTCTATCAGGTTGATGTCAGGACTCTGTGAAGGCCAGTCAAGTTCTTCTACACCAAACTCGCTTATTGGTGTCTTTATGGACCTTGCTTTGTGCAGGAAGGAAGGATCCAGCTGCAAACTGTTCCCACAAAGTTAGGAGGATAAAATTGTCACTAATGTCTCGTTATGTTGAACCATTAAGAGTTCCTTTCACAGGAACTAACCCTGCTGGCCCAACTCCTGAAAAACAATCCCGAACCCTAATCCCGCCTCCAACAAACTTTTCACTTGGCACAGTGCCATAAAACAAGTACTGTTCCTCTGGGAACCCCCAAATCCAGTCATCCATTGGATTTTACTGCATTTAACTTAAAAAAAAAACAGAAAGAAAAAGAAGAAACAATTGTCTGTTGTCATTACAGGGAGTGCAGAATTATTAGGCAAGTTGTATTTTTGAGGAATAATGTTATTATTGAACAACAACCATGTTCTCAATGAACCCAAAAAACTCATTAATATCAAAGCTGAATGTTT